CCCACCCACAGTACAGGTGCGCCCCTGTGAAGACTCAGCCAGCAGGAGGCTGGAGGCTGTGGGTGCGCCCCAGCCGCATCCGCAGGAAATGGCTACTACACGCTGGCTCCCCCAGAGACTGGCAGCCCCAGCCCTTGTTTTGGGACGAGCAAGCTCCCCCTCTTCCTGGCATCTGGCATTAGTTCATCCCTAAGCGGGGGTGAAATAAATCCAGCAGCTAGGGCCCGTGGACGGGGCTGAGCCGCCCCCATGGCTACAGCTGGCCCGAAAGCAGTGAGCACGCGGAAGCAGCCCAGTGGGGATTTGCTGGGTGTGATGAAGGTGTTGGCCAGGGAGCAGGTCCTGGGGGTCCCTGGGTTCCCACAGTGGTGGTTCTCGTGTGTCTTTCGACAAAGGCAAGAGAGAATGAAGATGAGCAGTGGTGAAGGCTTTGACCTTTATTTGTTTCTGTTCTGCTTTGGCATTTTCTTGAAACCTTCATTTGAGTAACTTGGCAAAAGCGCAGAAACTGATCCTGTATAAATAACTACACTGGGTGCTCATCCCACTGCCATCATTTGGGATTCCCGAGGCGTTTAGAGACTGCCCACTGGGAGAGCTGCCCACAAGATGGATGAGGATCAGGAGCCTGGAGGAATCTTTATTTGGACGTTGTTAGGAAGAGCCATCACAAGTGGGAAGCCGGGGCTGTGTTCCAGAAGCCCGACATGCTGAACCAAGCTGGCCCCTTCTTTGTTTTCTGCTTGTTTTGTGTGTTTCCCCTTTTGGGCTCATTTCCTCCCCGTTCCTTCCTTCTCTTCCTGTGGGTGGTGAGGGTAGAAGCAGACCTCTGCCCTTTGTCATTGCCATCGTGGCTGGGGATTAGCAGTGTCTGATGGTGGCTGCTCATGTCTCCTTCCCGAGCAAAGACCCAGGGTCCCAACGAGACAGCCCCCGCCCCCCGCCGCTGGGATGATCAGAGCTGATGGCTGACAGCTGGGCCTGCGAGGCATCCACTGCTGATGGAGGCTCTGCCCCTCCCATCTTACTCTGGGGCCTTCCCACATTCCCAGGATAAGTACCGACCCTTGGCACGCTGGCTTTACTGCAGGAAAAGGCTCCCACCCGGCCCCTTGTCAGTGTTGATTTATGGACCTGATGTGGGCTTTTGTAAACCTAATGTTAGGGAGCAGTATCAGTCCCTGGAGAAGGACATCATGCTTGGTAAAGTAGAGAGAGGGTCAGCAAAGAAGAGGAAGACTCTCAACGAGATGGACTGACACAGTGGCTGCAACAGTGGGCTCAAACATAGCAACAATTGTGAACATGGCACAGGACCGGGCAGTGTTTCGTTCTGTTGTACGTAGGGTCGCTATGAGCTGGAACCGAGTTGATGGCACCTAACAACAACAATGGTTAATTCTACAGTCTAAGGTGTTTGGGCTTTCACCACCCTCCTCCCAGAGCCCCCAGACCTGCTTTTCCTCCAGACACCCCTGCCTAGGTGCTGCTGGGGTGACTCTCCTCCCTGCCTCAGAGACCGAGTGGCTTCTGCACGCGAGGCCGTCTCCTGCTCTCAGCCAAGCCTGAGGTTACCTTACACCACTGGCCTTGGCTCTTCCCCTGAACCGCCTGAAACCACTCACGGTTCAGCTGAGGTGAGGCAACTCTACTCTGGTGCAGAGCAGACCCACTTGTGATTGAGAATCCTTGCATCTCATCCAGCTCGAGACAAAGAATTCCTTGAAAGCCAGTGACTTCGAGACAGAGCAGGGATGTGCCCTTTCTGCCTATCTCTTGGCTCCTGGTGTTACAGACTAAATCTCACTCAGCAGTAATGAGCTCAGGCAGGTGCATTCTCTGGCAGAAACTATCGTCTAAGGCCAGCGGAGCAGAAGGGAGACACTGTGGCGGGGAGGGGTGTTTCTCCCCGAGAGCAGCAGTTGGAAGTGCGCTAATCTGAGCCAACAGGGGCTTGTACAATCAATTCCCCCACTGAGAAGCTGGCAGCGTGCCGCCTGCCAGAATGCCAGAGCGTGTGTTTCCATAGAATACGGAGCACCGGCCTCCTGGCCACAGGGCCGCTGGCGGGGTCACTGCCAATTTGAGAGCACCCCTCCCCCCCGACTTTGTTTGCTTGGGGATTGTCTGCTTCCCGGGTGCCGTGCTTCAGCCCTGCATCTCAGTACATGCTCTCGAGGTCAGCCTGTGAACGCGTCTCCCTGCGGGCGTCCATGTGTCCCGGCACGTGGGGCAGAGGGGGTGTGCTGGCAGCCCTGGAGTGCACGTGTGTTTGCGTGTACAAACAGAGGGCCGTGTTAGAGCGGTGAACTCCACCACAGCAGCAACAAAGCTGCTTTCTTCTCTGAACTTAAATGATTTAGAGGGAAAAATGCCTGGACATACTCAGAAAGATAGTGGCTTGGAGGAAAGTCTTTGGGAGCATTCTGTTCCTGGCGGGATAAAACATGATGTCCTTTAAAAAAGAAAGCAAAGAAAAGGGAAGAAAAGAAGATTGGGCTGACAGGAAATTTCTGTCTAGGGTCATGACTGCATACGATCGGAATCGTTCTTTGCGTGGATTTGGACATTAAAAAGAAGAACGGACAGGAAGCTACTTCGTCATTTCCTGAAATCCGTATTGTTTTTGGGACGTATCTAGAGTGAGAGCAAAACAGCATTCACAGAACGCACAGATAGGAGAGCAATCCTACCCCAAGCCGCATGGCGCCGGGGGTGACCAGGAGCATGGGGAGGGCAAGACAGCCTCACCAGCCCTTCTAAGATGGCTTTCAAAGCCCCTTTCCCCAGAGCTCCTGAAACCACGTGGAATATTCCAGCTCCTCACTCTGCAGGTCAAGCTGTCCTTCAGGGCCGGTGATCAAAGCACAGCGCCCTTCACGTCAGCAGTTTGCCTTGTTTTTGGTTTTAATTGTGGCGAAATACATACGTAACATTTGCCAGTTCATCCATTTTACACGAACAATTCAGTGACGTTCATTACATTCGCCCTGTGGTGCGGCCATCCCCACTATCTGTTCGCAAGTTTTTAGCAGTTTGACTTTGAAAACCCCTGTTAGAAGGGAACCAGGGCTCCTGGCATAGAGGCTGAAGGGCCCAACTGCTAACCAGAAGGTCGGTGGTTCGAACCCACCAGCCGCTCTGCAAGAGAACGATGTGGCGGTCTGCTTCAGCAAAAATTACAGCCTTGGAAACCCTGTGGGGCAGTTCTAGTCTGTCCTCTAGGGCCAAGTCGATGACAGCGGGTTTGGTGTGTTGGGAGAGAGAGACGCAGTAAGACGTATCGACTGCAAAGCAGGCTTGTAGCCACGGCTGCGCAGGGAGCCCCCCGCCCTGTGGGCTCTGGGACAAGTGCTGCTCAGATGGTTTCTGGAGAATCCCGTATGGAACCCTTGTTTGCTGTTTCCTTCCCAGAATTTCCCCGTTCTGGGCTGCACAGGGAGCCCCCCACCCTGTGGGCTCTGGGACAAGTGCTGCTCAGATGGTTTCTGGAGAATCCCTTCCCAGAATTTCCCTGTTCTGGGCCTCTTTTCTGTTATTTCCCCGTCTTCTCGGGTATCCCCTTTGTTTTGGAAAAATACAGGCCGTGGCAGAAATGCTCTGTGTAACCAGACCCCAGGGCGCTGGCTGTGGCCCCAGTGGTAATTCTGCCTGCCCGGTGCACCGGAGCTCACGGCTCAAGAGGCGTGACTCCTGGGCTCCCCTCACCTGGCCACAGGTCCTTTTGCAATCCTGGTATATACCTCACTTCACCTCTGCCAAACGGAAAAGACAAAATGTGTCACCCAGCCAAATGGAAAAGACAAAATGTGTCACCCAGCCGTGTGCTTAAGACACCTTGAAATGGGAGGCATGAGAGAAAGCAGCTGATTTTGATGACGGCAGTTCTCCCTACAGCGCCTTGCCTCAAGTGCCCTAGAAGCATTTTTGCGATACAAACCCCGGATGTGCTTCCTAGCATCCCGGGTGACGTTGAACAATGAGAAGCTCCTGCAGTTTTAGCAAAGCAGGCATGCAGAGTGGCCTCTGTTAAGCAGAGGCTGCTGACCACGGGCACGACAGGTCAGCTGGCAGGGCCCGGAGGCCACTCCTAACCTCACCTCCTTTGCCCCCACAGCTCCCCGCCGGCCCAGCAGCTCTCCTTCCTTCACAGGGGCCTTCTGAGCAACCTGTACCTGCACACGCCCGACTGCCCCGTCCCCCTGCTCCAGTGGCTCTTCCAGGTGAGGACCACAGACCTACCACTAGGTGGCGGAGCATTCCAGCCTAATAGCCCCGGCAGGTCTGTGCTGGCAGCCGGCAGGAGGGGCTTCGCACTTAACCTCTTCTTCCCTTGGGTGCTTATCCTAGACTTGAGAGGAAGGAGTAATACTTACTGAGCGTTGATCCTGGTGGGGGTCTTACAGCGCGAGGGGCTGAGCCAGCAGCCACCTCCCCCCAGGCATATTGCCTTGTGGGTTGCTGGTACCACCAGAAGTCCTGTCTTAGCTTTCCCAAGGGGCCTGGTGCTCCAAGCGGACTTGGGATCTAACTCTCGGTGACCCCATCCCTGCTACTCAGTAAGTGCTTCCTTTGTGCCAAAGCTCATCTCCTCTCTGATGCTCTCCATTCCAGGCCCTCTGCCCCTCGTCCCGTAAGCAGGGGGAGCTGCTCAGGGCCCCTGCAGCCCTGCAGGGGTGGTGGTACAGGGACCCTCCCGAGCTGAGGGTGCTCGGGTGTCTGAATGTCTGCTTCCTGGTGTGCAGTTGTAGGTTGGCTGGAAAAGCCTAGAACAGCTGTTCCATCTGCCCCAGTTTATTCCACCCTGGTTGCTGCTGGCACTTTGTGCTTTGTGGGAACCTGTTGTCTGCCCAGGGATTGAAACCTTTGCTCAGAGAAAGACAAACTGACAGGGTCGCCAAGGCATCAGCTGCTGTGATTTGAATGCAAGGGATGAGGATGCTAGCCTTGACCCCCGTCCAGGACCATCCCTGCCTGGGGACGGGCAGAATGCAAGTTCTAGCTGGCCCCGTTACTGCCAGTGGGAGCCTGCACCACAGCTGTAAATCAGAGCCACTGTTGGGGCAGGTTATTCAAGGAACTCAGCCTTGACAGGCTGGCCGCCCTCTGGAAAGAGCCCTCTGGTGCTGGCCTCTGCCCTCTGGGGTCCTTCAGGCTGCTCTGCCCTGCCCCAGGGGAAGAAGGCACCCTCAGCTCTTGGGGCCCTGTTGTGGCTCTTGCCCTTGCCCCTCCCCTCAGCCCATTGGGGTCCTGCGTGAGTAACAGGAACAGTGCAGCCATTATTCTCTGTCCCCAGCACTGCTGCGTCTCTTTGCGCCTTGCACGGTCTGTGACAAAGCGCACAGTCGGGCATTGGGAGGTACAAAGGGTTCATCCAAGACATGTCCGCAGAGTCCTTGTGCAACCCTGACACCACGTGGATGTCGCCTCTGCTGGCTGATCTCCATCGGGCTCTGGAAGCCCTGTCCCTATGAGGGGTGTGTGAGCCCTCCCTCCTCCCCTCTCCCACCTCCATCCCTCCATAGAACCCAGGAGTCAGGGACCAGCTCTGAGTCAGACAGGCCAGGCCGGATTTGAACTTTGGCTCTGCCGCTTACTGGCTGTGCGTGACCTGAGCTGAGCTTCTTAACATCAGCCTGTGCCTGGGTTTTCTACTTTGTTAACTGGGGCCCGGAGCACCACAGAAGGGTTAACCGCGTAGTCCTGTAAACTGCTTTGTCCTTCTGGTGCCCCCATAGCTCCGCTCAGGAAGAAACGATGCTAGCTCAGAGGTTTCAGTTCACACTCTTCGGGAAGAAGAAACAAACGTTCCTCCTTCCCCGACGACTGAAGCCAGATCAGTTAAGGGGTGTACTTGGCTTTGCAAGCCTTGTGGGCGGACTCTGCCCAGTGTCTCTGTCCTGGGGGGGGAGGGCTGATATCTGCCAAGCACAGTGACTGTGCACAGGCCTCAGCAAGAATGAACCCTAAAAGTTCACTTCAGAGGTTTTGCTTTTCTTACAGTTTGGGATATATTTTCCCATTATAGCAATGACACTCACTCAATTCTTTCATTCATTCAGCAGACGCTGAACACTTTAGAATTGTCCTAAATTGAGGCAAGAGGTCCAGGCCTTTGGACCCAGCATTGACCAGTTGTCAGATGCATTCTGCTCTTGGGGAGGGTCCATGACCTTGGACAAGGGCAGTGCCCAGACAGGGGCTTGGCTGAGGGCCCTCAGCCACAGCAGTGCCCAGCCCAGGGAGGATGAGGGCCTCAGTCCTGGAAGGGGGCATGCACCATGGCATCCACCACAGCTGGCGTTGGTTGGCACCCTCCCGATCCTCCCAACCCCAGCGGGAAGCATGGTGGCGCTAGGCCCAGCTGGCATGCCCTAACACAGCATGGCCGACCGTGGGCAGGAGTGGCCCTCCTCTGAGGCCTGGCCTTGTCAGTGTGTCCCCAGACCGGACGGCACGAGTGGGAAGGTGCTGTCCCACTGCTCGTCCCCATGCCATGCTCTTGCCACATCCTAAACCCCCAGCTTATGACCCCAGACTCAAGGGACATCCAAACAAGGATCCCAGTGATCTTGACTCAGGCGGGCAGGGCCTCAGGTTACGTGAGAAGGTGTGCTCCGTCCCGGGAACCTCCCAGAGGTGGTGGTCTCGGACCGTAAATTAAGGTGCTGCCTGGAAACAATGCGAAGATCATGCTGAGGGGCTGACCCTGCCATTGTCAGCTCACTGTGGTCGGTGCTTATCAGCTGGTTCTCCCACTACGCTGGCCCAGCCCTGGAGGGGCAGGCTGTGACCACAGGGAGTGAGGGGCCAAAGGACCAAGACTGTCACACCAGGAGTGGATGGAGTAGGAGGAAACAAAGATGGTTTCAGATCACATTGACCTGGGCTTGAATCCAGGCTTTGCCGCTTTGATTAGCTGTGTGACCTTGGGGAAGTTGCTTGATCTCTCTGAGCTTGGTTTCCTCATCTGTGAAGTGGGAATAACTTACCTTTCTACCTTGTGGTCCTGTGAGGATTAAATGGGATAAGGTACTTTGACTAACCCATGGTGGCCTCTGAAGAAGTCTGCTACTATTACTCCACAGGAATGTGGAGCTAACTTGTTTTTTCTCCTCCTAGCTGCTGACATGGCCTCCGGAAACTTCTTCAGAAGCCTTTGGTCTCCTATGGGATCTCAGCGTGGATAGGCTCTTCCATCCGCCCGGTCAGTACGAGGGTGTGGGGTGGAGATTGGCACTCTGCATGCCCAGGCTCGAGAGCTTGTACAGTCCGCGGCTCTCGTCCCCCCAGGAGCCCAGCACGCAGGGGACGTGCTGGCAGAGACGTTGCATCACCTGGGCTGTGGCGCCATTGGGCCGTCTTTGGCTCTGGCTCCGGGGTTAGCAACCAGCTGAGCCAGCAGGCTCTTCGGCACCCTGGTTGGGCCCCAGATCCAGATCACCGGGGCCAAGTCGAGGCTGACCTCACAGAAGCTGGGGATCTGAGCGCGGCCCAGGGAAGCTGGGTTCAGACTGAGGCCGTCTCTGGGTCCAAGTGGACAGCTTGCTCCCAAATTCTTGCCGAGAGCCCCGGTTTGCTCCGGAGGGCTCCAGGAACATCTCCACCACATCAGGGATGCTCCTTGGCCTGGAGTCACAGGGAGAGGGCCCTGAAGCTGCCACCTTCTGCCGGTGCTCTGATTGAGGGGTTGGCAGAGCCCCGAGGCTGGGTCGGACTGGAGTGACGGTCTCCAGCCTGTATCTTTGCCGTGGCAGTTAGGGTGCGTTTAAGTCACCTTTGTACTTTGCTGATGTTCAGAGTTCCACAGAAGCAATTAACTTCCCTTTTGTGGCTGCACCCTTCCCAGCCTGTCATCATTCGGCACCTGAACATAGACACTTTGGCACCAAAAAAGACTGCGTAACCAGTCAGGTGCTTATGGCAGCCACGGAGAGGCCCCCACCGTGCCCAGACGCGCCTCTGCCCCAGCTGCAGCCTGCCCCCCCTTGGAGCGAGAGCACACAGCTCTCAAGGCCAAGGTTACAGGCCGGGGTGCACACATCGCCCCCTTTGAGTCCTGCCTTTGTGCCTCCCCTGCTTCAGGAGTTGGCTGTGCCCGGGGTGGGGGGGGGGGGCATCTGTTACATGAGAGCGTTCCGGACTCCTCCCACCCCCAGAGGACCCCTCTAACTGCCATCTTCTGAATAGCACTAGTCTCAGCCTCCTCTCCCTTTTCGTAACCTTTGCCCTCGCAGCCCAGGCTGCCCTTTGGAGCCTCTGCAGCCCCCACTGCAGCGTGCCTGCCCTTTTGGAGAACAGAGGCTTCTCTTGTCCTGCTGTCCCCTTCCGCGCACTGGTACGCGGCTTCTCTGCAGAGGCAGGGGGACATCCCACTCTCCCTGGCTGCTGTCCACGCTGAGGGCCCAGGGGCAGCCCCCCGAGTCCCAGCAGGCCCTTCTCATGGACAGCACCTGAGATCCCAACCCGGGAGAGTCCAGGCTCTGGTGTGAAACGTGATTGGGTTTCCCTGCTCCATAGAACAGACCCTGGCCTGGAGAATTCCAGACTGGAGGTTGAGCCCTTGGCTGATTAGGGCCAAGTCCAAGGCTGGGCTCAAGCAAAGAGCCAGGTGTCAGCGAGCCCACCAAGAGCTGGGGCTGAAAACCCTCGCCAGTGCACGAGGCATTTCTGAGGCTGAGTTGGAGCCGGCACTGATACAGAAGTCAGCCCAGTTCCTCAGGATTTGTTAGCAACCCGAGGGCTCTGGGTGCCCTTTGTGGGGCCTGCCACAGGCCCCTGAGGCCGCAACCCCTCCTGTTTGCGTCAGTGATGTGTGCGTTTGTGTTCAAGTTGCCGACCTTTCTTTTAGTAAAGTGAAAGTGATGTTGTGTGTCGTATGTCGGGTGTAAATTTCTGTCCTTCCCTGGAGTTTGTGGTGACTGACAGCTGTTTCCAGACTGTCCTGGAAGTGTCCTATGCCATCACCTGGATCCCAAGAAGCATCCTGAGTCCCGGGAGCACTGAGGCCGCCTCAGGGTCTCTAGCAGGACCTAGGCGGTGGGCTGCAGAGAGCTGGCTGCTGTGGATTTGCTCAGGGTGATGGGTGAGAGGCTGAGGCAGCCCGCCGCACACTGGCGTATTGGTGTGTGATGGGGAGTTGTTTTCCTGGGTTGAGAAGCACCCCGTGTTGCCTGTGCAAAGCTCCAGGCTCCTCGGTGGTCTCAGAGAGTGGGATATTCTGGAACCTTACCATTCTTCACCGCAGCAAATGTTCATTTGTGGGTTCAGGAAGGATGCATCGAGAGCCTCCTGTATTCAGGCACCTCTCTGGATGGCAGGTAAGTGACGCATAGGACCCGGCTCCTGCGCTCATAAGGCATGTAGCCAGTAGGAGGGGACAAGCAGTTACGACAGGAGATGAGGAGCCAGTGGCAGAACTGTGGTGGTGGTGGTTGTTAGGTGCTGTCGAGTCGGTTCTGACTCCCAGTGACCCGATGTACAGCAGCACGAAACGCTGCCCAGTCCTGCGCCATCCTCACAGTCGTTGCTATGTTTGAGCCCATTGTTGCAGCCACTGTGTCAGTCCATCTCATTGATTGTCTTCCTCTTTTTCGCTGACCCTCTACTTTACCAAGCATGATGTCCTTCTCCAGGGACTGGTCCCTCCTGATAACATGTCCAAAGTGCATGAGATGAAGTCTCACCGTCCTTGCTTCTGAGGAGCATTCTGGCTGTACTCCTTCCAGGACAGATTTGTTTATTCTTTTGGCAGTCCGTGATGTATTCAACATTCTTCTCCAACCACGATTCAAAGGCGTCGGTTCTTCTTCGGTCTTCCTTATTCTTCATCCAGTTTTCACATGCGTATGATGTGATTGAAACACTGTGGTAGTCCCAAGGAAAGCGAAATTACTTCTAGTTAGGTAGGTAGGGTCGGGGTGAGGGGGAGACAATAATCAGGAAGTGCTTTTTGTAAAGAGGGGCAGTTGAGCCATCTCTCAAAAGATATATAGGGCAGGGATTGCAAATTCAGTTGTGTACAGGGACCAAGTGAAACCAGTAACTAGAGAGCACCTGACCTATCTAAAGGGCTTTGTACACCATGATGGCCATGTGTAAATGCCAGATCTCTCCATTTTAATCAGGACTTTTTTTTACTGTAAGTAACAGATACCCTCTTAAGAGCAGTTTATCATCTCATATGACAACAAGTTTAGAGGTGTGTGGTTCCAGAGTATGTGTGTTCAGCAGATCTGCGGTATCAGAGCTCTGGTTAGTTTCTGTGCCTGCCATTCTCACTGCTTCACCTCATGGTGGCAAAATGGCTGCCATTGCCCAAGGTAGCGTCATGTACTCATGAGACAACATCCTTCAAGACAGAAAGGGGAAGATTAGAAGATAAGAGGTCATTTCTTCTCATACTCTCTTTTCATCAGGGAGTTTTCCCCTGTTGTTTCATTAGCTAGAACTGATCACGGGCTTTAGGGGACATTTGCCATGTTTTCTGCCTACCTGGTACCCTTTGAATACCCTGGCTGTATCTGAGGAAATGTCCAGCTTCATGAGTCTCACCCCTCCAGAATAGAACCCAGAAGACCGTTTTCCAGCCCCTCTTAGTTCTTTTTTTCCTAATAGTTTCTGTTTCTCTGCTAAGATTTCCTATTTGTGCATTCAGTATGAGCATATTTTCTTTGACCACCTGGAGAATAGTTATAATAGCTATTTTCAGATTCTTGTCTGTAATTCTACCATCTGGGTCATTGACTAGGTGGAAAATTAAAGAGGAAAGTGAACGTTTGTTTAGAATGAGTAAAGAAATGATACCAAATCCTTGCCCTCGGGAGATTCAGGTGCCTTTCTCCTAGACCAGTTTAGGATATTTACCAGAACTGTTTATGTAGAAATGCATCCTGATTGCAACCTGGCTTCCCTGCCCAACCTAGACGGCTCACAGGCACTGTGCACGTGAGAGGCCCTAGAGCTGAAGCATCATTAGCTTTACGGTAAATTGGCTTCTGACATATAATAAGCCTGTTTCTGTTTAAACAGCCAGAACCTGTTTTTGTTGCTTGTGGCTCAGAGCTCTGACTGCTCCAGTAGCCACCCTTAGACCAGTCCCTGCAAAGGCAATTGGGATGAATGGTTCATCCACTGGAGTGGACCCACTTTCCCTGAGCAGACGCCTGAACAAGCCCAGATTTCCTTAGCGACAAGGAAGGGGAGCCAGGCTCTTGGGCAGGCAGGTGGCGGAGCCTGCCACAAGCTGGGAGGTGGGTGTCTGGGTGAAATCGCCTCTTAGTAGCTAATTCAGTTTAAAAAAAAACAACCACGTGACATCAGTGTGAACCATCTGTAGACTATATTTGACTGTGGGCCACCGGGTTGCACCCCTGGAGGACGGATTTGGGTGTGCAGAGATAGCGGGAGTAGAGGGAACAAAGACAAGGAAATGGGACAAGTGGGGCTTCCTTAAAAGAGGGCGAGCAGGTGATAAGACTGAAAGTTTGGGACCAGATCTTGGAGGACAGTGGGGGCCATTGCAGGCACAGCAAAACTCTGTTAATACCTTGCAAGACCAGGGTAGCATTTTTTTAAAGATATGATTCACATAACATAAAATTCACCCTTGTAAAGTGTACAGTTCACTGGTTTGTGAGACATTCACAAGATTGTGCAACCATCACCACTATCTAATTCCTGAACGTTTTCATCACCCCAGAAGGAAACCCCATACTCAGGGATCACCCCATTCCCCCCTCCTCCCAAGCAGTCTCCTTTCTGTCTCTCTGGATTTGCCTGTTCTGGACACTTCATATAAAGGGAATCGTATAACACGTGGCTTTTTGAGACGGGCTTCTTTCACTTGGTCATACTGTTTTCAAGGCTGGGGCATATGGTAACTTTATGTTGAACTTTTCGAGGAACTTCCAGACTGTTTTCCAAAGCAGCTGCACCATTTTACGTTCCTACCAGAAATGTGTGAGAGTTCCAGTTTCTCCAAATCATCTCCAGCTCTTACTATTATCTGTCTTTTTTTTTTTTTTTTTACTATAGTCATCCTTGTGGGTGTGAAGTGGTATCTCATTGTGGCTTGGGTTTGCATTTCCCTGATGACTAATGATGTTAAGCATTTTTCCACATGCTTATGGGCCACTTGTATGTCTTCTCTAGAAAAATGTATATTCAAATCCTTTGCCCAGTTCTTAGTTGGATTGTTTGTCATTT